ATTGCCGTGGAAAAAATGGCATTGCCGGATTCATATCTACAAACTTTCCAAGATCATTACGAGACTTCCTTGAAGAATATGCAACCCCTCCAAGTGTTTATTCTAAACCCAGGAGATTTGAGGGATCCACAAAGGCTTGAAAGTATGCAAGAATGATTCGTGGGAGAAAATTAGCCCAAAATTAATGTTTTTTAGCCATCAAGCAAATCGTGAAGGATTACGAGAACGCTACGTATAGCTACGGTCCTGAAAGCACTTTCTTCTGGCTTCAGTCTTACGAGGACTTCTTAAATGTATGTAACAGGTTTAAGACTCAAACAATTATCGAATATACATTTTTAGTTCTATGGCGAAACGGAAGATTTTACCTACGAAGAAATGCCTAGATTCTTCAAATCTACCACATACTTCTACCTTTCATCGTTCGTTAAGTACAACGAAACTGCTTGCTTAGAGAACAGTCCAGCATGCATTACGTCATTCTTCTTTATGACCAACTTCCACGAGGTAAAACCATTACAAAGTCACTCCTTGTACGCTGGTGTGTACTTGTATCTTGCGATGCAAAAGTTGCACTTTTCCAATATGTTAACTGCTTAACTCACGCACTTTTGTTGCAGCACATTAAATACCATGAACTGATCCCAGCGTTGAGAGAATGGCGCGCAATTGCTGCCAAATATCCTGACTACCAAGTATACGCCTACTCGGAGCACTCTCCATTTATCGACCAGGTATGATCAGCAACAAGCTATTCTGCCTTTTCTAGATAAGTTTATTATTTCAGACTCTTGCGATCGACTCTACCGTTTGGGGATCGATGGGAGCTGCTCTGCTATGCACAGCAATCGCATGCTTTATCTTTATTCCGAACATCGCATGTATAATCACCGCCTGCTTGTCAGTGTTGTCGATTGCAATCGGCCTCTTGGGAATGTTGAGTCTTTGGGGTAAGTTCAAGGACATTCAAAATTTGTAGCAAGATAAACAATGCTGTCTT